TTTTCAACACGATTCGAGCAAATTATAGATCACCATAGTGCCCTACAACATAATGTTCACCCAGAAACTAAGCCTTCTCTAAATAAAACAATAACTATTTATCAAATTGTTATGTATCTCCCAACAACTATATAATCTTCAGATCAACTGATGTTCTTGATTTATATTCAGCCTTCTTAGATTACTCTCTTTCACACATGATAAGAAGAGTTCTTCTTACCACTAGAATCAGATCAAAGATATGATGAAAGGGATACCGAATCTGCGAAATTCACAAGATGTCCTTATGGTAGTCTTTAACATTACAGACGAAACACAACCTTAAATTATAACTGGGTAGTATTTAGTTCCCTAAGCTAATTAACTTTGACGAGTTCCACGTCATTCGTGGCTAACTATTCACGGATCGGATTCCTTACTCATTCATTTTATAACACTTTTTTATATATATTTTTATTTTTGTGCCCTCTTAGACTCTTTTTATGCATAAATTATAATTCAAAGTTAAATTATTTTCCAGACCCAACGAAGGCAAATTCGTATAAACATTTCTATGACGCTAAATTGGTAGTAATATTCTACTGTAACTAGTACTATGCATTCTCACCTTATTTTATAAACGTAGCCATTCAGATTTAAAAACAACAACAAGAAGAATATTCTATTTAAAAATGACTTTTAACATATCAGGAAACGTCTTCCAGTCAGTAATTCTACGGTCGGCGGTGATGACCAGCTTCCTTCCCTCTTGTCTTTTACTGCTAAATTAGGGACGGCTAACAAAGACAGCCCTCGTGTAGCTTTGCGCGAAATTTAAACCAAACGAACAATAATCACAAACCTCTCTGCTGCAAGTGTCAACAACAACATACAGCCTACTATAAAGGATGCCCCAAATACAAAGACATTAAAACACGAATCTTAAACACACAAAACAATGCAAATCAAACAAACACACAAACAAAGACACTACGACCAATGACACAATACGCCGAAAATGCACAAACTCATATTTACGCACAGGTAGCGCACAAACACACAAAAACAAAACAACGTAACGCACAAACAAATGAAGCAAACAAAAACACACCACAGTACTCATAAACATAGCCAAACAACATTTAATACGGCTAATCGCATACATAATACAACAGTACATGTATCCTACAACACAAAATATACAAAATTCAACAACACAAGGCACATAATGCATGTACAATAAACACAACATAACATGGACGTGGCACGAAAAGGAGACTAAATAATAAATGACAAACAACATCAGAACATAAAATTCAATAGCCCACATATTAAACACAGCAAGAAGAAAACATAGATTAATAGTAAAGGAGGGAGAAAGAGGTCTTTTCGAACCTGACCTTCCGGGTCTACAAGATCTAAATCCCTACGCTAGAGAGAGAAACAAATCTCTTCTCTATAATAATAGCGTTATTTCGATTATAAGTTTGAAATTCAGCGGGCAGTTACACGTTTTTTTTTTTCGTGTGGATTCTCGGCAATCTTAAAAAAAAAAGAGAGAGAGAATGTGCTTTATATTTATTATCAAAGTAGATCAATCCTCTTATTATCTACGTCTTTTACCTCTGATCAATTTGAGTAACGTATATAGATGTTTCAGTTTATCAAGCTTTATCCTTATACATCTAGTTTAGTTTTGCTTGTTACACATTCTCATGCTTTAATAACTTCCGAGTTTATTTTTCTTCCAGGTATGTTTGTGGTCTTTAATATTTTGGAGTGCTCGCAAAACGAAAAATTAATTTTTAGTTGTATTTTAGCTGAAGACTAACAAAGTAAATTTCACTGAAATGTGAAAATTAATTTTATAGCAGTTAAAATAAAAAAAATTAAAGACTACTTATAAGAAAAAGGGTCGACCGGGTGCGGCCTAGAGACTAGCGTGCGTCAACTATGAGTCAGAAGGTTCCTGATTTGCATCCTGTTGTGTCAAAAACGAGTTCCGCATTTGGAAACCGCCTGTGCGCTATAAAAGTAACGGTTAAATCCTGTTATTCGAACAGACAAGAGAACCCAAAGAGTTGGCGATGAGTGCTTCCCTCTAGTATATAAGCTCACAATTAAAAGCCCCCCAGTGGCACAGCGGTATGTCTGCGGACTTAGAACGGTAGAATCCGGGTTTCGATACCCATGGTGGGCAGAGCACAGATAGCCCATTGTGTAGTTTTGTACTTAATTACAAACAAACAACACAATTAAAAACGGTTATACATAGACATTAGCCCTCATGTAACTTTGCGTGTAAAATATGCAAACAAGAAGGAGGGAAGGTAGGAGATAAAAACTATTTGGTTTCTACTTGATGTTGATTTACATGCATGTTTAATATTTTCACTAGGGATAAGAGAAACAATATATAAGATTTTAACTATGCCTTATTTTAATTTACGGACCTGAAAATAAAGAAATAAAACTAAAAATAGGGTGAAAAGTCAAGTGTCTATGGATTCTTAAGAAAGAAGACTATATATGTTAAAAGTGTCCACTCTCTATTGAGATATGAGAGACTGTATTACTAAAATGTTGAAAACCACATACCAGATACCTTAGTTTGAACTGAACTAAATAAATACTCTTAAGTATACGTATACAATACGTATACAATACG